TATGTTCATATGCTGATCACAAGACAAAAGCAACAGGTAAAAAGGGCATTCCAGTATCTTATTCCCAAACATTCTATTTTAAACATTGATCACAATACAAACACTATATGTGTTGTCTAAATGAAAGTAATTTAGATATGGAAGATTTTTAGAAAATTCTGAAAACAAAACCAAAAGTGTCCAGCGTTTTCTTCCGCTTTGAGTCACCCTCCTCTCCCCCCCCCCCCTTTTAGGAGATGCTCAGGTAAGTGTGGCCAGAAACACAGCAAATCCAAACAGACCAGGTTTTACATATTACCAAATTTGCAAATACTTCAAAATGTTGCATGTCAGGGACTAGATCTCATAGTTACAGGAATTTTTATAAATGGAAAAGAAAGGCATGGTAAAGCTGTTAATGTTACAATAAACAAATGCATGATCTTTAGAAGCAAATTAGTGGCCACACTTTTGAAACCCATGTGTGTTTGGGTTTTGGTTTTGTTTTTTTGTTTTTGGTAACAACTGAAGTGAACACAAAGCTGGCCGATTATTACAGCCACATTATATAGGTCCAGATTGACGAGACAAGAGGATATTATTTGAGGAGGAATTTCATCCTTAAACTTTTCTAGCCATTAAAAAAGAAATACTTTCTTAACCACTAAGAATCCATGGTGCAGGGAACTAAAGTGTAGAGACCTTATTTTCCTTCCCTACTTAGTAAACAACTGCCTCCAGAAACTCTATGAACTGTGATAGGTGTCAATAGTTGTAGAGGGGCTTCAGGCATTTCGTTCATAGGGTCGCTATGAGTCATGCTCAACTTGAAGTCAATCAACAACTTAGGGATACAGCCATTTCATCAATCAAACTCATCTAAATTGGGGGGGGGGATAAACAAGTAAATACTGAACCACCTCCTATCACTCCTACTGGAATTAAATGACTCAAACCTGGACAGAAACTTCAAGGTTTTGTGAGAAAGGAATCTTGTAGCATAATTTGGAGAAAGAAAAAAAATGGTTTTTTGCAAGACCATCTATATTTAGCCTTGTTATTTCCCCAAGATAGTTTAATGGCTCAAAGGCAGAAAAATAGACTTTTGTGAAGCAAGTCAAGCCTAAATGGTAGTCCTAACTAAATAGATATGGAATGTCATAGAACACCTAATATATTTCGTTCAAGTCTTTAAAAAGTGTTTTCATACAGAAAATGGAAGACTTGTTTCTTTTATAGATTCAGGAAAACTGGGTTTCCAATTCAGACTACCCTATGTGACTTTTGTCATTATCATCTTTTCTGATTCTTACAAAGTAAACCTAATTAAGAGCCTCCTTCATTAGTCTTCTAGGAAAATTAGCACAGCTTATGCTAATTACTCCTGCAAAATTTAATAAACTTGTTGAAATGGGAATAGTCTAATGAGGTTTTATTTATTGAACTAAGATAACTCCAAGGAAAAAGGTTAGGACACAAGGATATCCAATGTAGTAATAAAACTACAATTTATTCAATTTCTAAACATGAATTTTATTGCAAACCTTTTAAATTCAAATATGAGTCACTCTTTGAATATGTTAAATCAATCTCCACCTTAATTCAATAACTAGAAGTAATTTTTTGCTTTTTACTTTAACAATAATTACCATACATAGTCCTTTGCCTCAGCCATAATGAAATTTGCTGTTATTAGCTCCTGGTCATCAGCTATTAAAAATAACACACTTGACTTTTCCCATGTCTATGCAGCCCAAATATCTGGATAATTGGGCCCAGGCCGGGTTCTATGCTTCGTAATCAGGCTATTTGGCATCAGGCAGTGATATAATTTGGCAGTCAATTCCAGATGTACACTTCTCACTTCTACAGCTATTTTTTTAAAAGCAACTTGACCAACTGTCATGAGCATAGAAAATGTATGAGTGCACTCTTTTTTTAAACTTTCTGAATGCTGTTATTATAGAATGAAGTAGAAACCCATTCTCTAAATCACAGTGTGCAACTGCCGATTTTGTTGATGCCACTTTTTTGCTTTGATAGAATATGCCAAGTGGATGTCCCCAAATTACTGGCAACAAATAACACAGCCAAAATTTAACATAGAAAAGAGCTTACCCTGCACCATTGCTGTATGACCAGAAAGCCTCTTCTCTCTAGCCTATAAATAGTTTTCCTGAATAACCACAGCTTAAAGTTCTTTGACTGATAAAAATAGCCATGTTCTTCCAAAATCCGAAGGACAAGCACAGAGAGCGAAAAGTTATTGGTGCTCAAAAGGTGACTGCGTATTAAAACTATGCTAAATCATAACCCAAGAATTGATTGTACTCTCAGCTCTATAACTGCGTATCATATGAATCTTGTAAAAACAGTTACTATTGTTGCTGAATGCAGGCCCCATAACCTATTTTTACAAAATATGCAGGGATCTGCATCCATAAATCCAAAAGCAAATCAAACTCTAAGCACGTAACACAGATATTATGCAATCAGTAATACAGAATCAAATTGGAAACTATGAAATTCAAACACAGTCGCCATCATTTTTCCCTCTTTGCAGCAATTTTACAGAATTGAAAAATCTTTCCTATTTTGCCCTTCCTTGCGTGAGTTCTTTTCTTGTTGTTATTCTCTCTCTTATTTAAAAAAAAACATGGAAGTTTCACGTATCAGCACAGACAGGACTGGAGCTTTTAAGACTTTTGGCAGACTAAAGGACAAATAAATTCTGAAAACTCAGATGCAAATGAAAATAGCTGAATGGGGTTTTGCACATCCACTGGCATCACTGCTTGCAAAGGTAGTTCATGGGAGAGGGTGGCAACAGCCAGCAAATAAACATATGTTGGGACTTGGGAAGATACACTGGGTTTTAGCCGTTTCGAAAGTACTCTCTTAAGAGACCAACTTGGCTACACACTATTCTCCACTTTGTCAAACCAGAAGGGGAAAAAAATGAAAAGGATAAATGTCATGGGTAATATCTCTAAAGCCACCAGCAGTATAAAGTGCATACTTATTTTGCCTAAATTGTTTGAACTACCCCAGCCAAGAAAAGGTTTTAAGTACCCTACTGGGACAGATGCAAGGCGGCAACAAAAGAAGCCACACTAATGCAATCCAGGTAACACAATCCTGTTTCAAAAACACGGGCCGGGCTAATTACAGCGCTGCTGAGTCAAGTTTCTTATGCCATTGCAACCCACAGGAACAGGTCAAAATCAAATGTTATTCAAACCACAGTCATATCAACCTTCTATATCAGAGTCACAGTTTAAAACCAAACGAAGAACTTAAAAGCTTACTCTATTCAAAAGAAGAAGGAAAAAAAATAGTGTTTTCATTGCGGGGGGCAACGTAAGGTTCTTGTCATCATCTAAACCAAAAGAAACTGGGCAGCTGAAGAAAATGCTTGTAGTCTCAAAGTTTTGGTGAATATCTGAGCAGGTCTTTTGATCACAGCAGTTTGGGTTTGTTTGGGTTTTTTTAATATTAGGGTAAGAGAAACTAGCTTCAAGGAACAAATGATGATTTAAGGATGCATATTTAATTGAAGCAAACAGTATTAAGTTTCTATTTCTTTTTGTCCATGTTCTTTTTATCACTTAGCTTCCATTGAAGAAAAGGACATTGTCTGAATGGCACAGCCACTCTCATACATATCCTCACCATTCAAATGAAGAGACAGCACACAGCCTGACTCTCACCAAACTTCTGTGTTTTAATTCTGAATCAAATGCTTCTGCTCGCTTATCTCAATAATCTTTTCCCAAGCAAAAGTAGATTTTTAATGAATCATCTGAGTAAAAGCTACACAATTAAGATAGCTGGCTTCAATGTAAACTTTTCTAAAACTACTTGGCAATCAACATTGCACTTAAGCCTGAAGAATCATGTAAGTGAAAACCACCAACCAATCTTTTGGCATAAATTATGATGAAGCATACAAATACTTTTACATCTATTATTTATCGTTAATGAAAAATTGACTCAAGCTCAAAAAGAGGTGAAGAACCAGAAAGATATTTCCCCCCCCCCTTTAAAACTCATATTGCCAAATCTCAAAAAGGGGGCTTGCCTCCAGTTCTTGATTTTTCTCAATGAGGAAATCGGTCAGCCTGACTTGCAAGATTCTTGTTCCAGCTCGCGGAGGCTGCTCGCTCATTTCCTAGCTGACAACTGACAGTATCTATAAAGCTTCCAGGCCATTTAACTCTCAATGAGTAATACTATGTAACAAATGGTTTATCATACATGTTTCCATACAATGAATTTCAATAATTAAAATGTAAAATGAATATTTGGAATGCGACTCTGCATAATGTGCGCACACACTGACTCGGAATTGCACCGAACAACTAAAACAGATTTATTGTTCTACAGTGATTTACTCGGTCATGTCAGATTAGTAATATGGATCTGTTTAAAAAACACAATAATTAAGACAAGCAGGATAAATTAATCAACTTACAATACAGAATGAGCTGCAATCAAACCCGGGAAATAACAGCCGAAAATCTCAGTCCACAGATCTCTTTAAACTGCTTTTATGCATAAATAAAACCTTAAAATGTAGATGGATTACATCCAACAGAACTACTGTAGCTAAAAGTGATAATGATTCAAACATTTTTCAAATAAAAGTTAAATATTTATAAGCACCCAACCACATTTCATAAATCACAAACTATTATTATTTTATTTCTGAAGCTTCCTGGCACAGCATGAGGATTGAGCCACACAAAGTCAGGAAAGGGAAAAAAAAAGAAAGAAATAGAGAGAGATATCACTTTAGAAGCATGAATCAGACACAAAACCGGAGCAATTCAAGAAACAGGCCTTCAGATAACATTCCATATGGCTTTCTCCGGAATTGCAACCGCTCGGCGCAGCTTCCGTTGTGAGCAACAGTCAGACTTCGGCCACATGCATTCCTAACCCCTGCCCATGAGCGACACAAGGCAGGTGTTTCATTATAATGAGGAATAAGAATCCAGTGAAAAGAGAGTGGTCCCTACCTGTCAATTATCACTGGATCTGAGGGAGTCTCATTTCGGTTGCCACAGCTTTTCTTGTCACAACAGCGGCTGTGGAGCAAAAGCGAGAGGATTTAGAACAAGCATTACAATGTAAAATCATCATTTAGGCAGACAGAAGGTTCAAATTGCTGGGTTGCAAATGCTAGAATTACCACAAAGCCATACCTGGCAATCAACGGATCCCTGGGACAGAAAATTCTATTTGGGTCACCTATGGGTTAATGGCCAGGCTTAACCTCTCCCTGCATAAAGAAGGTTTGGAGAGGGGCTCTCCCCAGCCACAGCTGACAGCTCCAAGCTGGGGTCTCTTCACTACTGCCCGCAGTGCTGAAGAGTTCACTGTGAGGTACACTGTTATTACCCACCCAATGAGAACATTCAGGGTTGTGGGTGGTTTAACCGTTCTTCCTGCAAGATCACGCTAATTGTGTGCAGCTCGTCAACAGTGAGGTATGAGCAATTTCTCCCCCTCCAGTCATTTTCTATTAAATGGATTCCTTGTTCTTCTCCTTTCTCTTAATGGAAGAAGTTTCCCTCAATCACAGCCTTCTCCCAAATCCTGAAGTTGTAACTGCTTTGGAAAAGTCTTCACGAGAATAAAAGTACAACACAATTTCTCAGGAGAGGGGTGGAGAAAATGCCAAGAAAAACAGAGTGTGGAAGTCCATACACCCTCTGGTTTCCACGGCCTGCACTGGTCACCGTTGGGACAGTGAGCCCATGGCTAGTGCTGCCCTGACAATGGACGTTCTTCATTAGGTCGGCAATGACAGCTTTGGGAGAGACAAGTGGCCACACCACAGTTCCAACCTGGTTCTGATCTGATCACTGGGTCAGTTGGACTTTTGTTTTGATTTTTTTTTTAACTGAGATATTTTCAGAGTGATAAATTAGAATTTTTTAAAATGCCTGTTGTCAATGAAGACCATCCATCTGAGACTTACTTGCAAATAAAGTCATGTCCACTGCAGTGCAGGCTATAAGTACACACTTGGTCAGTCCATAATACAAGAAGATAATTCAAAGTTTTAACCTTAATATGAGTTTTTAAAAAAAAATAGGCTCTTTTCTGCTTTCCTCTTACAAATACACACAAATAAGCACAAAACCACACATACCCACTCTCACACACATGGCTTAGTGAATGACACGGCCTAAATGTGGAGAGCTAGGTGAGGGTAAAGCCCTTTCATCTACAAAGGTACAAAAGATGGAAAGAATCTCTAAGCCCTGAAGTTCGTTTTCAACATCAGGAATATTTCCAGATAGGGAAGATCTCATCAGAGTTGGGGTTCATTTTTTCTTTGCTAGAACCCCATCTCTGAGAAGAAACACAAATGTCAAAGGTGGTGCTCATTCTGACTGTCTCTCACATCTCCAGAGGAAGAGCTGTGTGTCCTCTGTCAACACTCCACCCTAAAGCCATTGCATCCATCTCCTAGGTTTTTGCTTCCTGATTGGCACGGTGCTATTTCCTCCAGACTCACGCTAATATCTAAAAGACGGATAAAGAAATAAGGGAATTGGAACCTCAAACAGCTGGAAAGTCTTTAAAAAATGTTGTTGTTGTTGTTGTTGTTATGTGCCGTCAAGTCGTTTCCGACTCATAGCGACCCTATGCACAGCAGCCCTAAACCCTGCTCTATCCTGAGCCAACCGCACCGCCTCTGACACACCCATCCCGATTACCCCAGTCACAGAATCAATTCATCTCATAGAGGGTCTTCCCCTCCTGCGCTGTCCCTCAACCCTCCCAAGCATGATGTCCCTCTCCAAGGACCCATCCCTCCTGGCAACATGTCCAAAGTATGTCAGACGAAGCCCCAGAATCCTTGCCTCCAAGGAGTAGCTTGGTTTAGTCCTCTCCAAGATGAATCTGTTTGTTTTCCTGGCAGTCCACGGTACATTCAGTACCCTTCTCCAGCACCACAGCTCAAAAGCATCCACTCTCCTTCTGTCCTCCCTAGTCATTGTCCAACTCTCTGATGCATAACAAGCGATTGCAAAGACCATGGCCTGTATCAGGCGCACCTTAATCTCCAGAGAGACACTGTTGCTCCTGAGTACCTTTGAGAGGTCCCTAACAGCAGACTTTCCCATCGCGATACGCGTGGAGCCGAGCAAACTGAAGCTGTGAACACTCTCAATCTCTTCGTCATCCATCCTGACGCTGCCAATTAATACTTATAGTATTAAAAAATAACAACTTTAAAAAGAAACACCATCAGCTGAAGTCTGGTACCCTGTACTCACATGTCAAGAACTTGCCAGAACAGAGTCAAGAACACTGGCTCTGAGTCAGAGATCTACTTGTGTCACCAACGGGTGCAGAGCTCTCTATCTGCATTACTGTTCCTCACATTACCTCACCCTATCAGTCCCACTCTCACTGAATCAGTTGCAAATGATAGCAACCATCCATTCAGTTTCCAAGGAAATAAATCTTTATGAGAAGAGACTCCCTGTCTTTCACACAGAGAGTGGCTGGGAGAGTCTAACCTCCAACTTTGAATTTGGCAGCTCAATGTGTTATGCACTATCTCACCAGGTAAAGGAAAATATGAACTAAATAAATACCCTAAGTTCTTTTTTGTTATAGAGTCTAAATTACTGCATTTGTAAATTAAGGGCAATTGTCATGTCTACCTCTCGGTGCTCGGATGTGAATTCAATGCTACAAAGGGGCGAAAACGGCTTCATGGCTGAGCCTACTAAGGGCTCAGTGAACGGAAGCTTCATTATCCTGGCCTGCTCCTTCCTCCTCTGATCTCCTCCTTCTCCTGTTTCTCCAAGTGTGGGCAACGCTGCCCAGTGCTCAGCAAAGGCTGCAGGTCTGCGCAGGTAGACCATTCACAGAGTTCAAGTCCCATCACCAGGGAGAAAAGAAAATGAGAAGACCTCTCTGCCATCATCTTCTTTTTCATTTAGGTTTTTTTATTATTAATTTTAATGAAAATTTACAGAGACTTTGCATTTCCATTCATTCATTGTTGCACTTTTCTCCCTGCCCACCCCTCCTCCTCACAGTACACTCCTTTCTTTGAAAAGTAAAAGAAAAATTCTTTCATTGTTTTACAATCCCTCCTCCCAGGTCCACTCCACTATGCAGCCTTCGTTCTAGACTTCTGCCATGACAATAATACTTAATAACATATCCCTTTTAAACAGTTCTCTCTCTCATCTGTTCCAATGTGGTATACATTACTTATCCCATCTTTCTCAGTCTCCCCCCCAACCCCGATGTCAGTCCCATTTTACAACAGTGGCACCATGCAGTATTTGTCCTTTTGTGACTGAGATATTTCACTTATCTTCTTGATCAAAGCAGCAAGTGAGCAATGCAAGCTGCTGGAAGTTCTTTTCTCCCTGACTGTAGTCCTGCCTGGACTAAAGGCCTTCTAGGAGTCCTCACAGCTTACAAGACGATATTGTGGACCAGCACCTATCTCTCAAGCCCTCTCAGTGCCCTCCCTCCCCAGTGGAAGCATGTTCATCCCTCACCTATGCTCCTGCAGGGCCCTCAGGCTACCCAGTCACCTGACTCTTGCTCTTCACCCCCTATTACAACCACAGGGATCTTTCCAAGACTTTAGTGGGACTGGGTCCCCCTGTAGGATTTCCACAATACTCAGACACAAGCATGTCGTGAAATGAGGCCTCCTGACCTCCTGCAGTCCTCCTCCTCCTCCCCCAGCTCAGGTACCCAGGTCGGTTTCAATCCTCACTGATGGCCCACACTGCTCAGATCCTAGAGTCCAGGTCCAGGCCAGCCTCTTCCTGGGCAGCAAACGAGCAAATAAACTCTGCTCTGCCTCCATGCGTCACCCTGCCTGCTTCTTCCTCAGAAAGGCTTGCCCTGGCACACACACAATCATTCAAAGGATGTTCCTCCCAGGGCACTTCCTTCACCCACTCTTTATTGAATCAACTCAATAGTTGCCAGTTCAGCGGCTTTAGGGGGTTGTAAGTTGAATGTGGGGAGACTGTCCGCCCTTCTCCCTCAGAGGAGCTGGTGGATCTGAACTGTCTCAGAGGCAGTACCTTTCAGCAGCATACCCCCTACAGACTACACCACCAGGTCTCCCTTCAGGGTACTTAACGCAATGCAAATTATAGTGCACAAGTATTCTCTGTACTTTTGGTTATAATCTTACTCCCCTGTCCTCCCTTCCCTCATAACATTCCACATGTTGTATAAAGTGACGAAACCGTCAGTGTGATTTGCCTAATGACTGTTATAAGCAATCTGGTGGAGCGGTACATAAAGTACTGGGCTGCTAACTAAACAATTGGGAGTTCTAGTGGTCCTAATGGTAAGGACACTCCCAACCTAAAGGTACATGGTTCAAATGCACTAGCTGCTCCACAGAAGATGGGCAATCTCCTCCTGTGTGATTTATAGCCTCTGAAAACCCACTGAAGAGTCAGTTTCAACCTACCAATAACTAAAAGATGGGTAGTTTAAACTCACCAGCTGCTCTGTAGGAGAAAAGTGTGGTAATCTATGTCTGTCAAGACCTTGGAACCTGATGGAGAATCCTATGGAACAGTCCTAGTCCACCCTACTGGGTAACACTGAGAGACGGGGTTTGAAGTGAATAGCACAAGACTTGGGATAAAATGTGATTGCTGTATGCCAGTGACTCAAAACCGACCCAGAGCTGAGCAACAGTGGATTTTCAGAAACTATAAATTGCATAAAAATAGACTAACATGCACGGATATTTGAATGAAGGACGAAATTACTTAATGAATGACTGCTAGGTATTGTTGTTGTTGGTGGTGGTGGTGGTGTGCCGTCAAGTCACCTATGACTCATACCAACCCTGTATGTACAACAGCTTTAAACCCTGCCCTATCCTGAGCCAGTGTCTCTGACTCCATCAGAGCTAATCCCATCACCCCAGTTACAGAGAAAATATAATTCCCCTAACGCTACATAGGAGGCACTAGTGGTACAGTCCACAGGGTGCTGCACTAGTACAACAAAGTTTAAACGTCTGCCCGTGACAGTTCAAACCCGGCATGAGCAACGCAGGACAATGATA